TAATCCACAACTGAGAAATGAGTAGGGCATAAATGACTGCATTGCAAGGGCCCCCGGGAGCCAATTGCTTCTAACTCAAGGTGCCTAATAACAGTAACAAATTTTTAATTATTTAAATAAAAAAGAATATTGGGGTAGTTAAGTGTGTATTTTTGTGTAAATGAACTTAGTATCTGGCACCAGTCACAAATGGCTTCCTTTTTAAAAAAAAGATTTGAAAAGTAAAATTCTAAACTAAGTAAATGCAAATTCTGGGTTGAATATCTTCAAAGGCATTTTGTTTGAGGGTTTGCTTAAGGATCTGGTTATAGCTACCGAAAAACGAAGTAGCTATTGCAAGCCTGAAGTCTCTTCCCATATCTCACAGAATGAATTACTAAACCTGAATAAAAGTACATCCTATTGTAATTAAAAAGTGCTGCCCTATTTTTAACTTTTTCCCCAATAAATTGCTTCCACTATTTTCTCTTATGCAGGGAACATTCTGAATTGATTTCAGTCATCTTCACCAAATTAGTACTTCATAAAACCAAACAAATTGGATAAATCATATCGTGACATCAGGCTCTTCCATAACCCTCATTGTCTGGATTTTCCACGAATAATGAAGGAAAGGGCTTTCACATTAGGAAAATGCAGCTGAGACACCAGAACTGGGGTAATAATGGCAAGACTAAAAATATTAATACTGCTACATTTCCTTTCCTGGAAACAGTTTTCCAACAGCACAACTTTTTAAATTGAAAATGAAAAACTGCAGAACACTTAGACAAGCCGTACATACTCATCCATAACAACAGCCAGCTATGTCAAATCAAAGCTTGATCCGGTCAATGTCCTGATTCTCACTCATCAACAAATTGTTCCCAGAAAGCTTTCAATTAAGGTAACAACATCCTCTAGGTCCATCTTTCTTTGCCTCTTTGAGTGCTGCTGTAATATTCCACAGAAGATAAGATGAGAGAATCAATATTCCAAGACTATATGAATAGTTTTCTGGAAGTTCAGTAAATTGCCTTTTAAACCATAATACACAATATTTTAGCAAACATCGTTATCCAAGGTACAAAAACAGGATCATATAAAAATTAATATCATTTTCCAGCCTTACTCCTTTTATTATCCTAAGGTACAAAAAGAATTGGACACATACTTATATACATTTTCTCAAAAGTTAACGATGAAAAGGAAAATTTCAAACATGGCTAGAAGAAACCAGCATAATTCTCAACCAGAATTTCCATTCTCAAAAGAAGACACAGAAAATGAGAGTGATGCATAATCCGTGTTTGCAGCAATTTTTGCCTCTAACGGTCTCAATTAAACAGAGGACAGAGACTGTTATGATGCAGAACACAAACGCATTGGCAGCTAAAATATTGATAGCTCCCCTGTAATTCTGCAATCAAAATATTGAATAAGCCATGCCTTCCAAGGAGAGTCCAGATCATTTCAGCTTCTCTGTCTTCTAGGACAGTTAACAATGCATAAAAACTTCTTTAAAACCTAATTCCCAGACAAGGGAATTAAAATTCATGGCATTATTCTCTTCCACAAAGAAAAACAAATCCAGAGAGGAGTTGAGTGTCTTCTGAATGTTCTACACTGGCTTATAATCCTAGGTCGTAAATAAAGTCTCTAGCAGCTTTCTCTTAAGGGTCATAGGGAACACCAAAGAGCTTTACAGTGCCCGCTTCTCTACTGCTATCATATTTGCCATCTTTATCATCACAGGCGTAGGCTAATAGCGCACATTTTGGATGCCAAGCGACTGTGAAAGTTGGGGACTCACATTGTACTTCCCAGAGCTTCTCCCCTAAAAAAACAAAGACATAATTAGATACTGTTTTGGGGACAAACTCAGACCCTATATACTTAGCTCATTAGAGACAAGAATGCAAGTTAGGAACTACTGTTGAATAAGTGTTCCTTTTATTCAGAATCATAAGGGCAGTTCAGAAAAAAACCTCTTTCAACAAGAAAACAGCAAGATTTTCAAAACAGCTTAAGGCATACATTACATTATATATTTCATTCATAGATATTATGCTTAGATATTATGCTTGCCTAAGGATAAAATTCTGTGAGATATACAGTATTTAAACTGAGACCAAAATTCAAAAGCAAAAAGCAAAAGATAGGGGGGAAAATATGATACATCAATCTGTGCATATATTTTACTAGCCCTTCTTTACAAAATGCCTTCATTCAGTTGATCTCTTCACCTAATAAAGGTTAAATTACTTTCCAGCGAGGCAGCAAGAAAACCATACTCACCAGTTTCTACTTCAGCAATATCAATGAAGTGATCTTCAGAGGCTGAAGCCAACATCTTGCCATCATGGCTAAAGCTCAAAGTCCTGACAGGCCAATCAAGTCTAAGATCAGGAAGCAAAGAAGGAAATAGAGAAATAGATTACAAGAGGTGAGATAAGTGCTTTGGGCACCACTAAACAGTCTAGTTTATCATTCTTAGAATCTAGTCTTTCAAAAGTAGAAATATTGCCATTGACTATGGCGATGTCATTTAGGTACAATAACTAATTTGTACCTCAGTTATTAATATCATTTTAAAGTTCTCTAAGACAGAGATCACAATATCTTGTAGTAACACATTTTGTGCTGTACGATTTTTGTTCTTAATCTACTTAATCTACTGCCAACTGGTTTTGTTGGATTACTCCTATTTCTCATTTTATTAGACAGAAAAGGTCAACTCCCCCTAGTTAGTAACTATACTACCTAATTTATATTAGGTATAAAATAATAGTTTACTCATTTGCATCCTGGTCTCTATTTTTTCTTAAAAGAAAATCCTTTACTTGACCCCATACTACAAATGCAGTTACACTTTAATAAAGGTGTTGCTCAACTTCCAACAGTTCATTTAGTGACCGTTCAAATTACAGCGGCACTGGAAAAAAGTGATTTATGACCATTTTTCACACTTACGCCCATTGCAATATCCCCATGGTTATGTGATCAAAATTCAGATGCTTGGCAGTGACTCATATTTCTGATGGTTGCAGTGTCCTGAGGTCATGGAATCATCATTTGTGAATGGCTATGGAGATTCTCAGTCATCCAGGTCATAGTTATCCCAAAGATGCTTTTCCACAAGGCAACTGGACTTTCTTGTTTTTCTTTGAAAGTGATTCTGATAAGCCTCCAGGTACCTTTAACGACTCACTAAAAGAATGCAGATGAACAGCTGTCTGCAAGGAGTATAAATCCTTCCATTCCCCACCATCCAGTCAGAACTGAAGAAGCTTCTTGGATGAGAAGCGAAACATCTTCAAAGCAAAACAAGAAAGTCCAGTTGCCTCATGAAAAAGCATCTTTGGGATCATTATTTGTGACTTCTGACAAGCAAAATCAATGGGGAAGGCAGATTCACTTAACAACCTTGTTACTAACTTAACAATTGCAATGATTCACTTAACAACTGTGGCAAGAAAAGTAATAAAATGGGGCAAAACTTCATATGTGGTGGACTTGCAAGGTTATTAAGGCCTTTTGGATAAAATTGTGGTGGAATTTACAGCAAATCTTTAAAAGAAGAATTACTTTTTTGCCTCAGTTGTTTCTCCTAGGTATCACACAAAACTTGGATGTAAAAGAAACGAATTTGATGTTGTATTGTTTAACTGCTGCCCGTTTGTTGATAGCTCAAAATTGNGAGTAAAGTTCTACCTACAATGGAGGACTGGAGATTGAAGGTTTCGTATTTTGCTGAAATGGCAAAGATTTCGGCTTATTTGAAGAATCACTCAAACGAACAATTTTTATTAATATGGAGAAGATGGATTGCTTATATTCAAAAAAAGCATAGAATGGTGGAATATAATTTAGGTTTTTAGTTAACTTGTTCCTTTTTTTATATATATTTCACCTACTTATGTAGAATAATATTTTGTGGAGTTAGGGATATTAATATTAGTTTACTTTTATTTGAATAGTATCCTGGGATTAGGTTTGGGAAGTCCGGGGGGGGTGGTGGGGCTTTTTTATAGCATTGTGATATACCTGTGATGTTTTTTTTTATGATGAAAATAATAAAAATTTATACTTGAAAAAAAATGGGGCAAAACTCACTTAATAAAATGTCTCACTCAACAACAGAAATTTTGTGCTCAATTTTGATCCACAGTCGAGGACTACTTGTATTACATGAGCACTAAGATGGAGCATTCATATTATTTATTAATAGTTTTTTCAGAATTTGTTTTCAAATTATTTTAAATAGATTCTAAATTTAGATTGTAAATTTGAAATTGTTTGAAACATCCAAGCACACTGTCTTCTTTAAAGACAAAGCAGGATTTACTGTTTAATCAACTTACTACAGATACGATCTATACAATAATAAATCACAGCAGCAATGAAAGAACAAGAATGGAACTTAAAAACAGTGTAATAAATTTTACATTGAACCTCTTCTTGTTTTCCATTGCCGTCATCGACATCCATCAACATTTTTTCAGGATAACTATATCATCCCAAACCCTAGGACATGCTTCCATTATATATCATTAAGCTATACTGCATAGCTCACATATTGCACTTCTATAGTACATCCTTCTAATTACTTTGGACTTAGCATAGTATTTTGATTTTAAATACGTTTCATTCCATTAATCTCAGAAAAGCGCCATTTATTTATCTACAAGCACAAAATCTGGAAAAGTACTTTTTAACACTTTTAATACAACTCACCTAGAGAAGCATCGTACACATACCAGCTCATCCACATCCCAGAGGCTAACTAATGCATCAGCACTTCCGGTAGCAAAATACTTGCCCGTTGGATCAAACTTGATACAAATGCAATTTGAGGGGTGAGCATTAATTGACTGAATGGGTTTCAGCTCCGGGTAGCTGCAGAAAAGAAATAAAAACAGTTTATTAAATGCACATGCAATTCACTATCTAGGACAGTGGTGGCGAACCTATGGCACAGGTGCCAGAGGTGGCACTCGGAGCCCTCTCTGTGGGCACACGTGCCATTGCCCCAGCCTTGCCTCCCCCCGTGACCCCCTCCTCTCCAGCAGCCCCTCTGAAGGAGAGTCGCCCTCGAGCGTGGCCCACATGGAGCAGCGCAGCCAAGGACATGGCAGCCAGGCAGCGTAGACAAGACTCTGCCCTCACACCCCATCATGCAGTTGATGCTGCAGGGCGAGGGCAGAGGGTGTGGCCACCATAGCGCTACTGGGCTGCCTGGGTGAACTGTGGCGGGCCCTGGAGGCGGTGAGTGGTCCTATGGGCAGGCGGGATGGGGGATGGGGGGAACAGTGGAGGTGGGGCAGGGGGGGTGGAACAGGGGCGGGGCCAGTTTTTGGGCACTCAATCTCTAAAAGGTTTGCCATCACTGATCTAGGACATACCCTGAAATCTTGTTTAACAATGTCTAAATGTAAGGCAGGCTCCTTATTATATATCAGGAATCACAAGATGCATAGTTTGAATAGCATGTCTTACTTTATTTTAGCACTGAAGAGTTATAAACAAATATAAAAGAGCATGTATGACACCTTTAATATGTTTTAAAAATTCAAACAAATGTAAAGTAAAAAAGGCAGAAAAGTTTGTTCATCACTGTTTATGCTACACCAATATAAGGATCTTTAAGATACCACAAGATTCTGTTCATTTTGCTGCAAAAAGCACATCTATCCTAATCTGGAAAGTCTGCTAAAAGGCAAAGAAAATTGAGATATTTTGAAAAAGGAGGTTGCTTCATGGTTTGCACACGTAAGGAAATGAGAACGCAGAGGATAATAATTGCCCTTATTTAAGTCAGTTCAAATACAAGAAGGAAATTTGTTTTAGCATAATAAAGATCTAAGCAGACCCTAATAGTGAAATTCCTCTTCCGTTAGCAAATCTGGATGCCTGAATAACATTCTGGATCTGAGATCATATCCCAATATTCCTCATCTGGTTAAGTGATAAACTGATTAAAAAAGAGGAAAATAGAATACGACATTTTTATTTAGTTTTTAAAATACTTGACTAGTAGTCCTTCACTGGAATACCTTTCATTCGTGTCAAAATGGAGCAGACAATTGAAATACAAATCCCCACTTAACCATACAGCTCACTAGGACAGGGCTTTTCAACCTTTTCACCCATTGTACCACTTTTAGGATATGGCAACATCCGAGTACCACCAGCAAGGTGTGAAAAACTTGATGACCAAAAAAAAAAAAGTGATAAAGTACAGGTAGTCCTCAACTTACAACAGTTCGCTTAGTGACTGTTTGAAGTTACAATGGCACTGAAAAAAGTGCCCCTCAAGCCACAGCCGAGCAAGACACCTGCCTACCCACCTGGCAGCGCTCTTCCTCCTGTCCGAGGTTTTCATTGTTGTGAGCATTTATTTTGAGGATTGGCAGCGGGGGTAGGGTGGGGGGTGTTTGGTTTTTATTCCCCCCCGTCTACTGGGTGGTTGCAGCAGGTTTTGGTCACTTCACATGACCCTGGGACACTGTGACCGTCATAAATATGAATCAGTTGCCAAGCATCTGAATGTAAATCACAAGACCCTGGAGATGCTGCAACATTCCAGCTGATCGGCGCTTCTTCTGGGCTCAGCAGAAACACCAGGATCAGCGCCGAGCTCCAGCTGGAGCCTAGCGTTGATACTGGCGCTTCCACTGAGCCCTGACAGCTCTGCAGTTCCAGCCACCTCTCGCTCAGGCTTGTGCGGTGCTGCCACCGGTTCAGCTCATTCCCCTCCCCTGCTATCACTTTTCTAGGATGGTCGCGTACCACCTGCCAGGTGCCAATGTACCACAGGTGGTACCTGTACCATTGGTTGAAAAGCCCTGCACTAGGAGACTCTAACTCCAGGGCCTCTCAGAACATTGCTGAGAAAACAAGGGAATATCTCCAGGTATGCCATCTCACATTCCTTGAAGAGCAATTAAAAATGAGTATCTAAGTTGAAGAAAGAAAAATGTGGCAATGGCCACTATTAAGAAGAATTAAATTCATGATACTTTGGATCTTAACATTAATATATCAGGAATAATAAATGGAACAGAAAGAACTCTTATGAGGAAACAGTATTCAGAGATATCCATGAAAATAGAACAGTATTTATATTACTGTTGGGTTCTTGGTACTCTCTGAGCTTGATTGTTTTCTGCCTGGCCAGCGTGCAAGAAAGCAGCCAAGCTCAGAGAACACCAAGAACCCAACAGTTCAACTTGAGCTATATATATTGTCTTCTATTTGCTTTAAACTTTACGATCCTGAAATGAGAAGATATTGCAAAAAGCTTTGCAGCTGCTAATGGTATCACTGAAATCATGATATGAGCTCCAATTAGAAGCAAAATTGGAAGGCAGAACAAAGAAAAAATATCTATAAACAAGGCTGCATCTACGTAAAAGGCACATCCACTTTCCCAACATCACTTAGATCAGTGTTTCTCAACCTTGACAATTTTAAGGCATGTGGACTTCAACTCCCAGAATTCCACAGCCAGCAATGCTGGCTGTGGAATTCTGGGAGTTGAAGTCCACATGCCTTAAAATTGTCAAGGTTGAGAAACACTGACTTAGATCAAAAGACAGGACAGCCAACTCACTTGCTGCCCTTCCTAGAGAAGGCCATGGTGAAGGTACCTGAGGATGTTGATGCAACCGTTGCCATTGGTGAGGAAAAACATATTGTTATCATTGTTCCAAGATATCTCATTCACTTCAAACTTGAATTGCTCTTCAGCTTTGGACCGATATGTCTTAGCATCAATGAATGTGACAACATCATCTTTATTCCCTACTGCAATAGTCTGACCATCAGGGCTCCAGCAGATGTTAATGTTTTCACCTATAAAGGAGAAAAAGGGAAAAACAAATCTTCTGATTTACTAATTGCAGCAAGAACAATTTACACAGGCTTTTGTATTTGCAAAGCAAGGATGATAAACAGAAAATGCAACTTTTTAATACAACAATTATTAACTAACAATTTTATAATACAACAGTATGAGTGCATTTCAGATTTGGCCATGGCCATTTATCTGAAAAGAGAAAAGAAAAGAAAGATAATGATTTGGTCAAATACCATGAAAAACTAGTTGTTTCTCCCTTAAAAGCAACATATATTAAAAGCATGTGTTCATAAGTATATTGGTCACTTTATATGATCAGGAAGCAACATTTGGAAATAAATATGGAGTAATTTTGCCCCCAAGATCTCTTATTTAATTAAGAAGAAAAATACCTTTTGTATTCACCATGACAATGCACTTAGTGGTTCGAACATCCCATATACGAATGGTTTTATCACCAGATGCTGTGACAAATAGATCTGGGATACTAGGATGCCAACACAACTGATCCACACTATCTCCATGGCCACGGTAATTGTTTTCCTTGACCTGAAGGGTAAAAAATACAAAAATCTTCAACAAACTCTTCTGCCCTTCATAATCATTTTATCACCTACGCTTCATCATAATCTAAATGCCACTGTATATAGTTGATTGTGCAGGATTTGATTCAAGGATTTGTGCAGGATTTGATTCTCTATATGCACTTTGATAGAATTATAGAAGAACAGTTGACTAAGTAAGGTAGAAGTTACCCCACTTCTCACCCTACAGTCTTCCTCTCTAAACAACTGTTCTCAGATGGTTTAAAAATAACAATTTTGTTTACTGATACTAATATGGAAGAGTCTTGTCACCTTCTCCTAGGATGGTTTTTCACTTCCCAATTTATCTTTTTGCCCCAAGAAGTGAGAAAGTCCAAACATAGAAGAATTATATTTAAAAATATCTCAAAATCAAAGATACAAAGTTTAGATCAATGAACTGGAAACAAACATACTAGAAAATGAATATTGGTAACAACAAATCTGCAAGAAATATCAGCTATCATTTTTAAAATCTTATATTTCTGAAGTGCTACTTGTGCTTTATAAACTATGTAGAAAACAGAGAAATGGCCAAAAACTTAAAAGCATCCATTTTTATTTCAATACTAAAAAGAGGCTTTATTAAAGAATATTCAAAATTACTAAGTTACATATCAATAAAAAATGTTCAAGATTTTACAATCCATATTTCAACCATATTATGGAACAAGACTTAACAATGAACAACCTGAATCCAGTAGAAGCAATCACATTGCTAGTATCCATGGATAGTGGATCAGATTGCTAGTATACACAGATAGTGGAAAAATCAAGAGTGTTCTAAACACATGTCTTTTTTTTTTTTTTTTTGCTCTATTGATTATATTAAGATTTTTGACTATATAAATATCAAAAACTATGAATAGTCCTTAAAATAGTTCATAGGTATACTAGTCACTTTATATGATGATCAGGAAGCAACAGTTAGAATTAAATATGGAGTAATAAAATTGTTCAGAATTGGGAAAGAAGTGTGTCAAGGATGTAATCTGTCATCTTATTCATGTAACATATGCAAAATATATTATGAGATATGCTGGAACAGAGGAAATAGAAATTAAAAGTAAAACTTTGTCAGAAAATGAAACACCACGGATATGTTGATGGCCAAAAGAAAGGAAGACTTAAGGAATCATTTTTTGAAGGTGAAAAAAGGGAATACAAATCTAGTCTGCTGCCCAATATTGAAAGAAATTAAGCGGATGTCAACGCAGAAGTACAAATAAGCAGAAAATAAGTTGATGCTGACTTTACCTCCCTGGGCTCGAAAACTCAAGAGATGGTGACTGTAGCCATGAAATAAAAATATGTCTGCTGCTTTGGTTGACCATAACAGATCCAGACAAACTTTTGATATGAAAGTAATCACACAGGTATGTACTGTTAAGGCCATGCTTTTGTAACATATGGCCATGAAAGCAGGGAAATTGATGCTTTTCAATAACAGCACTGGAGAAAACTGTGGAGAATACCCCCAAGAACAAATCTTTCAATAACAACTGAAGTAAAATTATAGAGCTCAGTGGAAGCATTAATAATGCAGCTAAAGTCTAAATGCTTTTTTTAATATGTAACGTTAAGGAAAGAATCACTAGAGAAGAGCCTGAGACTTGGTAAAATCAAATGCAACCAAAAAGAGGCAATTGGGAGAGAAAGTCGGAAAGCAGCCTCACCTACGACACTAGGATGAGTTTATGAACTCAAGAGGGTTTATTGGCAGATCAGCCAGACATCATAATAATAATAATAATAATAATAATAATAATAATAATAATAATAATAATAATAATAATAATAATAATAATAATAATAATAATAATAATAATAATAAAAAAAAATAATAATAATAAAGTTGGAAGGGACCTTGGAGGTCATCGAGTCCAACCCCCTGCCCAGGCAGGAACCCTACACCATTTCAGACAAATGGCCGTCCAGTCTCTTCTTTAAAACTTCCAGTGTTGGAGCATTCACCGCTTCTGGAGGCAGGTTGTTCCACTGGTTAATTGTTCTAACTGTCAGGAAGTTTCTCCTTAGTTCTAGGCTGCTTCTCTCCTTGATCAGTTTCCACCCACATCCGGAAGCCACCCAAAAATTGAAATACAAGAACCACCGAATTCAAGCAGGTTTACTTTCAAGCCGATATTTGTCGCCCTTTCCCCCCCCAAAAAAACCATGCTCTAATTCCCACATCTGCCGTCGAGAGTCCAATAAACCCGCCACGCTCTCTGCAGCCGCTGCTGGCACTGACTCGCCGCTTCTTCCACTCCTCCGTCCCTGGACTCACCAGCCGGTCTTTATCCAGCACGAAGACGCTCGCGGTCTTGTCGAAAGAGCCGGAGGCCAGACGGTGGCCACAGCAGCTCCAGGCCACCGAGTGGACCTTGGCCCCGTGCGCGGGGAATTCACGGCTCCGCGTGTTTGCCCGGAACTGCTCCTGCATATTCTTCACGTAAGGAGAAACAGCCATGTCTCAAGCCAGCAGAACCCGCCTCCCCTTCCCCCGCGCAACTTTCCTTCCGAGATGCAAAGGTTCTACTTCCGGTAGGTTGTTCACGTGGGCAAGAGGGAAGAGTCTCTTGAGGAACGGGTTCCTGAGCGCTGTAGAGCAGGGGTCCTCAACCTTGGCAACTTTAAGACTTGTGGACTTCAACTCCCAGAATTCCTCAGCCAGCTTTGCTGGCTGAGGAATTCTGGGAGTTGAAGTCCACAAGTCTTAAAGTTGCCAAGGTTGAGGACCCCTGCTGTAGAGGTATATAAGTAAAGAGAGATTCTTTCACCCCAGAGACGTCCTTTTACTAGTATCGCTTGGTGTCTCTTTGATGCGTTCATTTATCTTGTTGGTGAAACTTTCTCTTTATTGATTCTTGGGAAGGCCCGCTGTGGCTTCTAAAAGAAAGACGTCCCTTCGTTTAACAGAAGAAAAAAAAATAGAATACTGTTTGGAACGTGGCTCAGGATCCCCAAACAAACAAACAAACAAACAAACAAACAAACAAACAAACAAACTCACTTGGAATTCCAGAAACAAAACTTTATTTGAAAAGAAGCATTTGCAAAGGCTTGGTGAGCTGAAGCACACGTAGGAGTCCAGCCACACCTTAAAGAGATATTAACACACTTTTATATCCTACCCCCGATGCAGATTCCCCCCTCTCCTATCGCTCTTAACACCCCTTGTCTGAACATCAGATCCAGTGTTTCTCAACCTTGATAATTTTAAGGCATGTGGACTTCAACTCCCAGAATTCCACAGCCAGCAATTCTGGCTGTGGAATTCTGGGAGTTGAAGTCCACATGCCTTAAAATTGTCAAGGTTGAGAAACACTGATTAAACTAACTCGAAGCGCCTAAACTATTCCCCCCTCCCCATGTTCCAGGAAGCCCCCTTTGTGCACGTCTTATCTCTCACCATCTAGTTTTCTGTTAACAAAGCTCAATTCTTATAATTGTTTCTATATTTGTTTGCTGTTATACCTTTCCTAGCTTAAGCTCTAAACTCTTATCTTCAGTTTTTGTGTTTCCTCTACTTGCCTTTTCAGTTAGCCAGCAACTTCTGCTTTTCTTATTTGTATACTAGCTGTACCCGGCCACGCGTTGCTGTGGCTCAGTCTGGTTAAATGGAAAAGAACGAAAAGAGAAAGCGCACGTTTGTGTCACAGGTGTGACATCTATATAATAGTAGGTATATAAAAACACGCGCGTATTCGAATGCAACGTTGTGTCAAAATTTCAAAGCAATCGGTGAAGAACTTTCGGAGATTTAAGATTTTGAACAAACGAACATTTACATTTTTATTTATATAATATAGATAGTTAACTTGTCTGAGTTTATGACTTTCAGGTGGCTTCTCCTACAGACCTTTAGAATCATTAGAAATTTCTGATTAATAATCTACTGTCAAATGCCATATTTTATGATAAAATTTAGATTGCACAACGAGAAATTCTATGAAAAAGGCGTTATATAACTGCTGCTCAACCTAATTAATGCTGCCCTACTTATGACATACACTATAGAGAAAGTTTCATTTATTTGCCGTTTCCTATCACACGGTATCAGAAAAAGAGAAAGTGAGAGGTCAGGTCCGTTCACCAAAAATAGATCCTCTTCAGCTGAAATGATGTTTGTTTCAAAGCCATCAAAACCTCAAAAATCTGTGTCTGTGCAGGAAAGTCAAAAGGGAAATAAATGAAAAATATTTCTAAGATTTTCAAGAAACATCTACGCATACGTGGAAGTGAGCAGTTCACCAGACTTAAACTTCCAAGCGATGATGTATAATAAGGCTGATACCTGCACCCTGCCAAATGAAAAAAGGTAGGTTGCAGAAGTTTGAGGTTATTGAAATACCAATCTTTGATGTGGCCAGGGTATCCTTTTAGGAAAATCAAGTGCTTTTGAAAGATTTTCTTGCTCTCAAACTGCAGTTCTTCCCAACATTCTGAGGCAAGCTATATTAATAATAATAATAATAATAATAATAATAATAATAATAATAATAATAATAATAATAATAATAATAATAATAATAATAAATTGGAAGGGACCTTGGAGGTCATCTAGTCCAACCCCCTGCTCAGGCAGGAAACCCTATATCATTTCAGACAAATGGTGTCCAGTCTCTTCTTAAAAACTTCCAGTGTTGGAGCATTCACCGCTTCTGGAGGCAGGTTGTTCCACTGGTTAATTTTTCTAACTGTCAGGAAGTTTCTCCTTAGTTCTAAGTTGCTTCTCTCCTTGATTAATTTCCATCCGTTGCTTCTTGTCCTGCCTTCAGGCGCTTTGGAGAATAGCTTGACTCCCTCTTCTTTGTTCAAACCGGGCTTGTTAACGCAATTTTTGTAATGTACACAAAAGCTCTCCTTTGTCATCCTTACTGTTATATAAGTCACTAAGAAAACAGTACCGTGGAATTAGTAATATCATCTGATTTTCTACTTACTGCAAGCGACTCCAAAGCCACTCTAATGTTTCCCAAATCTTGCTTCAGGACTAGCAGTTATAAATATTTGATGCTGCTATTTTATTTAATTTAGATATACATATAATATGTTTATAACCTCAGTGAAATAGTGTGGTGTTGCTTAACATATTAAGGTTCATTGGTATTATTCTTTTCTATGGTGCTGTTGTCCCCATGTCGGATCTGAGCCTGGTGCTAAGGCTGATGAAGAACACCAGACACGAGATGCAGGTTTTGTTGTCTTTTATTGAAGCACTCCAAGAAAAGGGATCCTGGCTAAAATGCCAAGGAACCCCGAACCATAGAATTAATAAAGCTTTATACATTTTCTCTAAAGCAGAAGGCGGGGTAAGGTGAGATATATAAGAAATATCATCTAATAAACATTTCAATAATAATCTAACATTTATTCTATTAGTCTCTAGCCATCCCTATTCCTAATCCTTGGCTAATGAATACTTCAGGAGTTATCTAATACACATCCCTATTCCTAACTTTTAGCTGAGTCTGAAAAATGCCTAACTCTTCATTACTTTTATCAGCTCTCTAACCACCCAGAATTGTTACAAGCTTTACATGTGCATATGTCTTGTGAATAAGCGTTCTTTGTTCTTGCCAGACAAACTCCCCAATTACAGACTTCCTGGACTCTTTTGAAGTGTATGCCTAATCTTGCTTTGTTTTGGCATCCAGCCCATCAGTACTGCAATAGAATGCAATCAAAATTTTACAATATGGGATTTTAAGGGATCATTGACATATAATCTGAGTTTTGGTGCTAACCAAAAGCATATTCGATAGCTTGTTAGCATACAAGATGTTATAAATAATCCACATTGTGTGCTTATGGAGTGATTTATTTCTTTAAGGATGTTAGAGTTTAACAATCTTATGCCATCAAGAATACACATGAAGATTGATATATTGTGTACAGTACATTTTTTGAAAAAAATCTGCACAAATGAACTGCTGTTCCATTCCATTTGTGACTTACAAGCTTTCTCTCCTCAAGGTGAGGTTTGCTTTGTATACTGTAAGGAGAACAATTCCTGGAGGGGTGGGAGCATGTTAGCAAGACAGAAACATAGAAGGAATGCATGCTAATTGGGGCCTTGAAGTCCTCACTTCTCAGTATATTTATCGAAACTGCTGTGGCAATGCAACTGATATTTTCTTTTTAGTCCTCAGATTACGACCATAATTGAGCCCAAAATTTCTGTTGCTAAGTGAAACATTTCTTGAGTTTTGCCCCATTTTACAACTTTTCTTGCCATTGTTGTTAAGTGAATCACTGCAGTTGGTAAGTTAGTAACATGGTTAAGTGAAAATGGTTTCCCCATTGACTTTGCTTGTCACAAGGTCGCAAAAGGTGATCACATGACCTCTGGATATTGCAACACGTAAATATGAGTCAGTTGACAAGCATCTGAAATTTAATCATGTGACCATGGGGATGCTGCAATGGTCTTAAGTGTGAAAAAGGGTCAAAGGTCACTTTTTTCAGTGATGTTGTAATTTTGAACGGTCACTAAATGAACTGTTGTAAGGCGAGGACTACCTGTAACTCTTTCTTGAGGATAATAACAGAAAATGAATGGAGAAGTAAATTGAGGCTTGCTGATTATGAATATTTATGCTTACATCATCTATTACCTATGTATAGCTATAATTTTATCTTCCTTTCCTGAAATGTATTTATGAGTGCATCCTTTTGTCTTTAAGAATCCCTCCCACTATTTTCTGGAGGGAATTCCAGTGTACACTGAATAAATAATAAGTGCAGTGAGCCTTAATTAATTAGGGGGAATGTTCTCTGTTTGATTCCACAGAAACTGGTGTCAGAAGTGGGATTTACAATCTTTGAGCTGCAACTAGGGGCAACAGCTGGGACACCCCATAGGGTGAGTGTTGTGAGATTGATTCCATGCCCGTTTCCACTACCACATAAGGACACCATTTAGGAACAGGTGTAAGGCAACAGTCTGTGTCTAAAAGTCTATTTTAGCTAGAGAGGTTTGTTGAATGTGGTCCCTTTCATTCCAGTTCCCAGCTGCCCCTGCTCTGCTGAACAATGATTGAAGGCATTGGAAAGGAAGGGGAAATTTGGCTTTGGAGAGGTGAGTATGACCTTTCTGTGTTGAACAAGGACTGTCCCCAAGTCTTGTTCCTCCCCAGTCAGAAACAAGCTGAGACATGTATACAAGGACCACAATAATCAACACAGGAAAGGAAAAGGGAAGGCCAGCAAGGAATAGGGTCCAAACCTCAATGTGGATAGAAATCACACAGATAAGTAATCTGAAGGGGAAATGTTAGAATCTCTGGGAGGAAGGCAAATGGGAAATTTGCAGTCTCAGGGAGTTGTGCAGGAGGCTCCAAAGTTTATGAAACACTGACTTGGACTGGGAGTGATGAAATACATGGAGCAATGGAAAGAGTAAAACTGAATGGTCATATTGTGCACAGGGAAATTGGCAAATACACTGAATGCCTTTCATAGGAGGAGAGGTGGTGGTT